AGCTGATCTTGTAGTTCTGGTTCGAATACCTTTAAATGGGTTTTGAAGGTTGATTTAGAACTCGTGGGATAATATCGTATGGAAATTGAAAACTGTTGAGAACTCGTCAGTAATATCGTACTGTCTCTTACGTTCAAATTGACCGCACTCATTTTCCTAGCATATTCTAAAATCGCATTTGAAATTACTAACTGAATTACTAAATTAATAATTGACCGCACTAAAATTGAAAGGCAATTTTTTGATAGACGATCTATTAGGAGCAGTATGACAGTCAGTGCATTTTGGTCTCATATTCTCATTTTTTTATCTCTCGTATGGTACTCTTTCTGTTCACTTTCGTTCAATATTAAGTGTGTACGCTTGGTGAACGGTGGCAAGGAACGTCGTGAAATAGATTTATATTATTGATTCGTGTTTAGTTTGTTGTATGAGAATATAAAAGGTTACTCTAAAGTGTATCGTGCCTAAAATATCGATATATTGGACGAATATGTTATCAGTTTCCCGGAGATGAGAATTTTATTTCATTTCATTAGAATTTCATTTGAAAACAAACATGTTTTGTCCGGACTACTGGATATAGTCTTAAAACACTTATTTGTGGTATGCATTTCGACCTCATAAAATATTGTAATTTTAAAAAATTTTATAGTCCGTATACTTTGGAAATTTGTGAACGCTTCAGATATAGTTGGCTAGTTTGTATAGTTGGATAGAATTCGGTAATACTACATAAAATTTGAGAAGTGATCAAAATGAATCTATCTGACTGATTTTGAGAGTGATGCGAATCTATCGATGGTATTTTGAATTTTAAAAGAATATTAATTATGATATGACACATTTGAAAGAGATCACCTTGGCTCGTTGAATAGCCTCAAAAAGATTAGCGCCGTTGATATCCCATCCATCGATGACCAGTTCGTTGGGATCAACCATTGGCAGAAGTTTGTTGAACGGTACGTAAACCTGCTTCTGACCATCCCATCCGATATGTACAGTAGTCGCTTGTGTTAGTGACCCATAATAGTTGGCTTTCTGTTCGCCTTGTCTGGAACTTGATTTGTTGTTGATTTTTAAAGCAATTGTTGTAATGATCTTAGTAATAATAATAATACTGATTGAAGGTTCACATTTGTTGCTGAATGGTGGATTTGTCTTCAGATTGTCTATTACTAGTTTCAAGAAATGATATCAAGAAAGAAAATTCTTAACAACAATAATAATTGTGCAATATTTTGTTCAATTGCTGTAATGTTAACTTCAGTATTACTTTTACATCGTTATAATGTATTGAACGTTGTTAAGAATTCCATTTCTTGACAATATTGGTTCAGTTTATTTGCGCGAGGAGATTTTAGCGACTTCATTCGGTTGGAATGATAAGGATGTTATGAGAGATAAGGAGAATGTAATTTTTTTAAAGGATAGTAGTGTTCATGATGAGTAGTGGGATAATCAGATTCAACTTTGTTCTCTAGAAATGTTTATCGATTTCATTGATTTCCTCTGAAATGGTTCTTGAAGTCAAATTTTATTGTTCAAAAGAAACTAAGTGCTGAAATAGTCAAGAATGACTTCGTTCTCCATGTTAGATGGTGTTTGTTGGCGAGAATACTGCCCAGTAAAGTTGAGCCATTATTACCGCCGAAGCCAACCAGTAAAACACCGGTTTTGTTCGGTTTCAATAGGGTACGGAATGTGTATTTGTGTTGTTTTGGTGTCACTTGAATGGTACCGTTCGGTGTATAGTCGATTTGATTACGACGGTAGTTGTATTCGCTGGTCACGTAGGTGCCGTCGTTTTGTACGTACGGCGAATTTACTTGCAACTGAAACAATCTATTATTTATTATTTAAGTACAGGTAGAACAAATAGGCATATAGGTACTTACCAGTAACATAGATGTGAACATTTTTGGAGTTTAGAAGCCATCTGTAATATTTGAGGAAAACAAATGTGGAAATAAGTAGTGTGGGTGTGGTCAATTATCGTCAGCAAAGTTTTCATGTGCTTTTGATGCTAAATTGTGAAAATTAGGTTTAGCTCAGGGATTGATGTGTTTGGTCCTCATAGGGAGTAACAGTTCTAGAGTAAGCGTTTTCGTCTCCATTGTGAACCGTATTAATCAGTAGAGATTTTACTTCGTGTACTTCGTAAGGAATTCAAAATATCAGGTGCTGCATTTAGGTGACTTATCGAGACATAAGATATGAAAGTTCATGGATGAGTATGTTCATTGATTTACCGGGACTTTTTCAGTGGAAGGAATTTCCATAATTGAATGTGTAATCTTGATTATTCTTCGATTTGGATTTAATAATCCAATAAGAAAAATAAGTTACAGCTAATAATTTTTGAAGAAATAACCTGATTTGTTGTTACTCCATTCGTCGAATTACCATTACAATGGTATCCATTAATGGGTTGTTGGGGAAGATGTTCAGCAACCATTTCGAAAGCTTTTTGTGCAGTTTTTTTGAAAATT